ACATGGTTAGTTCTGTAAGTTTTTCCATTAATATTAGTTTACCACTTGTTTATTATGTTGCCTTTTGTCAGTATTATCAGAAGTAGCAATTGTTTAGGAAAATTTTATGGGTGAAAAGGCTTAAAGAAATTATAGTCTTACTTTATTTTTTTCATGCAATTTGGGAAAAAACTGTCTGTTTAATTTTAACAACTGAACACCTTGGTCCAGACATGGGAACTCTAGTGCAGATTTGAGAATGTTTACATAGGAAAGGGCTACTAAGGATGCCAAGCTCCAGAACTCAGCTCCCTGTTGGTTTGTGCCCATTCACTTGTCTCCCCATACACTGCCAGCAATTTGCATAGTGCCTGGTACACAAGTTGTTTTAAGATTATTTAAATAAATGAGTAGTGTGCCCTGTACAAAGACACAGTAACTCACAAAGGTGGACCATTGGTAATGGAGAACTAGACGAGGAAATAGCTATTACTAAGCAATCATTCATTCAACATGTATTTATGTTGTGCCAAGTGTCTAGCATATGCAAAACACTCTGTTAGGCCCTGGGAGGACATCGAGACCACTGAGATCTGGACCTTGCTCCCACTGTGTTTACAATCAGACTTATGGAAAGAACAGGTTGTTTTGTGAAAACTAAAAAGGCTGATGGTGAAGCAAATGTATAACTACATATAAAGTGATTATTGTTTGGTGTTAAACAAAGTGAATAGGGTACCTCTTCATAAAAATTTATCATCCGGAGTTAGAGAAAGACTGAGCAATGAAGGAGAATAAGGATTTGATTAAAATTGTTAAGACTTAAGAAAAAGGTTCTCTCTGTTTCTTTCAAAGCTTCAGAACTCCAGATAACTCAAAGTCCTAACCCAATCACAATTCCTTCTTGCCCTCAGAGGTAGGTTGGAATTTCAATGTAATTGAGATTTCTCCAATCAAAGCTGCCCTGTACCACTGATCCCTACAATGCAAATGGAATGAGAAACAAAGATAAGGATGTATAATTTCATTATTAATAAATTCTGTAATTCTTTGTCTACAGACTGTCAAATGACATTAATGAACAGAGGTGGGTCAATATTTATTTCAGTATTAAGTACATTTAAGTAGATCCTGAATCAAATCAATACAAGTATTTTATCAATCCTCTAAACTTGCTTTTGATGAAGCATTCTTAGCTCAGATCTCAGGGACTGACTGAAAGTCCTATTTAGAATCAACAAAGATACCATGGCATTTTTTCAGAGGGGAAATACTATTAACCTCAATTCTTAAGCTAAATTTCAATCTTGGTGCTGGCATTAGCATTATGCCTAGCTCCTTATAACTTCCTTTGGCTGCTTTACTTTTTATGTCCTATTCTTAATTTCACATACCTATGATTTGATAAGTCACGTATCCCTTGAGAGTAATAAAGTAACATTTTACAGTATAGCTCAGGGAAGCAATATGTTTAATGTTTTAAAACTGAAAGATAATGCTGACTTTCAGATCAGAATTTGTTCATGCTTGAGGGTAAAAAGACTTCTACTCTTGTGTATGTCAATTACACTGAATCCAGAATAACTTTTTTCAAATGCAAATCTGATCTTGTCACTCCATTTCTTACCATTCAATTAACTTCCCATTTCCCACAGAATAAAGTTTCTAAATTTTCAAATATTCCCCATGGCTTACACTATCTGATTCCTGCCAAATTCTCAACCTCCTTATGTACCATTCTCTCACCTTACTACAATCTATGTAGCTGTACCACTTTTAACTTCCCAAATTTTCCACTTTCTAATTTGGTTAATACATTGACTGCCACACACACACAAAAACCAGAAACTTTTCCTTGGGGCCACAGTGTTTTATTACAAAAATAGAATACAAACTTTGAGAGTAATTTAAAGGTAAACATAAATAGAAAAATGAAATTTATTGAGTTCTATTCATTTAATCCACATTTTTAGAATCAAATTATCACTATTAATCGTAACAATAAGAACATCAGATTTTATATTTGCTTCACACAGCCCTGGGGTCAAAACTAGAGTGAGTTAAATCCAACTCTCATGACAGTCAATGTGTTAAGGGCTTTCCCTCATGCTGTTCTTTCTCCTAGAACTTTCCTAATCCCAATCTATTCTTTGCTTAGCTAACAATATCTAGTCATCTTTCTAGTTTCCAGGAAGGGTCTCCCTAAACCTTCCCTCTGCCCTTGGTTATATGCTCTGGTAGCACCTCTGGACTTTTTTTTTTTGGTAGCAGTGACCATTCTTATAATTCCTTGTTCAGTGTTTTTCTTTCCCATCAAACTGAGTTCCAAGACAAAGATCCCAGAATAGAGGGATCTTTGGATATATTCAATATGTCCAATACTGGCACATAAAAGGTACTCAATTATTTGTTGAATGAATGAACAAACAAATGGAGGATCTGATATGACTACAGTCAGGATACAGAGAGAAGGTTAAAAATTTAGTATCCATTCCATTAATTTGGGG